TGCTCAATAAAACGCATGCTCAGCAAATAAATAACTCCATTCATTTCATAAGTCCTACTGGCTTCGATTGCTTCATGCCTCTAAATGCTTTGTCTGCTGGAAACAAATATCCACCTTCCTGACTTCATTACGAAAAATAGCTGCCGACTTCATTCCTATAAAACACATTCTTGTAGCTTGATGGACATGAATGGATTTTATTAAACACATCCCAATATCTAAAGAAATAAAAATGGGATACAGTTACGGCCAAAACATTTCCTAGGTAGGAAACGGGTATCTAGGTATCCTCTGCATCTCAGTGGAAAATGTTTTATTGGTGTTAAAGTATTCAAACCCTTTTTTGCATGTTTCACTGGTATTTTGATATTTTTATTGGGTGAAGAGATTCATACCTTCACCATAATCTCCAGCTGCATTGCACAGAGTTTCCATTAGATTGAAGATGGGACCTGTCCTTTAGCTTTAGTTGACAAACACCACTTATAATGACTATTTACTCCTGAAATGTTGGGGTTACTTTTTCAGAAAGTTACCCGTCTTGCCAAGTCTGCTTATTCAAAGAATTTTGTATTTACTATGTCATTAAATAATCATTGTTAATAACATAGTAATCAACTAATTTGTTAAATTAGTCGATGATGCTTCAAAGGCGACTAAACATCTGGGTTTTCAGTCTGTGTTTTAAGGAGCTTAGTTTTTCAGCTGCAGTTTTCCGGAAGTTTGTTTCAGATCGGTGGTGCATAGAGGCTGAAAGCTGCTTCTCCTCGTTTGGTTCTGCTTCTCTTCAAATTATCTCAAACATACCTGTACTTTGCTTAGCCACTGACTTGTCCAACTTAGCCTACTCAAATTTTGTGTTCTATTAATCTATTTTTTCGCTTTTCTTGTTTTATTTGTTCCCCAAAGATGGTGTTCTCTCTTCTCTTTGCTTCACAACAACAGCCTGTTCTGTCTCTCCCTTGGGTGGTGCGTCCGCCGCTGTGCCTAATATTATTTATGGTCCTCCAGCTATCTGAAATTGGATTTTTCTCACTCTACCAATGCAATGGGATTACAAGTTTAAACATAAAGGTGGAAACGTGCGTTGGAGGGCGAACTGAAAGTTCTGAGTGTGAACATCTTAAATAAAAGTTTCACCCAGAACGTGGCCAGATTAGAGGATAACACGCGACGGTTCTGGGGAAAAAAAGACGATGATGTAGGCAGATTCCTTGGGACGTGGATGTTCCCAGCAATTAAAGCTGTTCCTGCTCAGTTGGCTTTCTGACTCCGCAGCCTGGATTTCTAGTCCTCTCATGTCGACCACGCTCACTCGTACACCTCCTCTGTGCGTCCGCACAACTTCAGCCGTGTTTGATCTAATTCTCATCTAATGAATCTTTTGATCTTCCTCGCCTGACACTCAGACACATCCCTGATTTCTGCGTCCAAAATATCTCAGCTCGTTCTGATCCCTTCAGATATCTGGCTGCGGGGTAAACAGCTGGGTCTGCAGCTATGCTCTGTGATTTTTAAACCGTGCACGGCGAGTTTATCTTTTAAAGAAAGGGCAGCTTTTCTTACACCTCTCTTTAACTCCCTACGATATCAGGAGATCGACATTGTTCTCAACGTTAGGCGACAATCGCGACCGCAGTTTGAGACGTACCAAATTAAAGACAACAGAAGAAGTATACACAGCAGAGACTTTTGGCAGTGAAGACGAAATAATTAAGAGTTGCTCTTTAGTGAACTCTTAATTGGTGAGGAGACAAGGCTGGAGATAAGGGATCAATAGAGGGAAAAGCAAGGGTTCCAGCCCACTGAAATCAATCGGCCTTCTCTCTGGCTCAGGGAAGGAGAACAGAGCCTTGGGCTGCTGCTTACTTACTCCTTTGATCAAACTTTCAACAGGATCGATCTGAGCGGAGGACCTGCTCCTACTTATCTCAGTCAAAAAGAGCATCAGCTTGCACGGCAAGTCGATTCGGTCGTTCTGAAATCAGCGTTCAGAATTCAGTTTTGGAGAAAATATGGGAATGACAAAATGTTCTGATGAAAAGGAATATCAAGTAAAGCTCTGGTGTATTTTTACTCTACTGCTAAAAATAGTCACTTTCTACTCTTGCTCCCTATTTTCCCTTGCTCTTTGGCAGGGTAATAACCATCTTTCTGCTCTGTCACTTTTTGATGCATCATCCTCTTATTCACATCAAGGACAAGGCCAGGTGTCGCATTTTCCCCTCCCGGGTTGCTACGCTCGTCACGGCGCCTTGTCACCCGCAGCCTGTACCGGTTCCCCCTCCCTTCCTCCCTTCCCCTCCTCTTCGCTTATTTATATTAAATCTGTCATTCTTCTATTTTATTGGGAGAAAAAGAAAAGTAAGTCATTTGCAGCCTGCTGTGTGCCGAATGCAGCAAGCATGTGGGTGTCAGTTTTTGGCCTTGTGAAAAACTGTCAAAATCAATTTTGTGTCTGCGGCTTTGTTTCTTCATGATGACTAAAGAACTTGCTCCTCATGTGTCCTTGTTTGAAATACCAATGTCATTTTACCTTTCAACTTGGCTTTTAAAGTTTCGGGTGGACTTAAATGTCTCTTCGTACGCCTTCAAATTTTTCACGTCATCTGGTTAAAACAATAACCGATATGTTTTACAAAGTGGGACATAATGGTGGAGTGGATGTAAAATTTGTGGTCGTGATGTGACAAATGCATCCATATGACGAGGCACATTGTCTAGATCAGAAGTGTCCTAATTTTTAAGATTAAGTTCATCAAAATGTTTTTTGAAACTAAATATCCTACCTTTTTTTTTTCCTTTTTTGTTTTACCTACCGTGAATTAAACATGCGATATTGTGATTTTTGAGAATTGATAACTAATTCTTAAACTGAGACATAAAAAGGTTTTTGCCCAATTTGAGCCTTTGAAATCTTGTGCGTATGAGTCACTCTTATTATTTTTAGTCATGTTTAATAAAAGGTTGTGTCCAAGCCTGCTTTTGAATAAAAGTCGCTGACTCCTTATGGTCCTATTCACTGTTAATAGTTGATGCAGAAACCAAGATTAAGAGAAACATTCATTGTTGTGCCTAAAAGATTCTGTTTGAAACATCTTTCATTATAAAATTAAAAATTTCTCTGTCTGACTCAGTGACCTACTGGAGGGCCAAATTTACATCGTTGTTAAACTTCTATTGGGGACGGACGGACAAAATATTCATAATATTCACATTTAGGAACATCGTGAACACCCCTTGTCCTGACTAGAGTTTTTCAAAGTGGGGACTTTTTAATCACAAGATCACAATTCAATGTCATGAACTGTAAGTTAAGATTAGGGCTGTTGCAAAAAGAATATCCAGTACTCTTTCGATTATTTGTATGATTAATCGAGTACTCTGTCTCTCTGTCTCTCTCAATCATTTGAAAACGTCAACATGCAGTTCTGGGAGGAGAAAAGCTGTTGTACTCCAAGCATCACGTCAGTCAGTCAAAACAACTTTCTGGTCCCCCCCAAGAAACGACACAATAGCAACAACTCATAGGCGGCAGGAGCGCGCTGCCCAACACAAATAACGACCCGCCGTTAATGAATAAAACTTAATTTCACAAAGCTTCCAGGCAGATAAATTTTCCTTGAGAAATTTTAATAATCGAGGTACTGGAATAGTTACAGCCCAGATAAAATAAAGTGTTGAAATGTTATTTTGTTATTTGACATGCTCATCTTTCTGATGGGCTGAAACTCAAGCTGCTTTTCTCCCCCGAACTCATTGCCAACTAAAATCAGAGGCTTTGAAGCACCAATTTCTGCTAAACGAAAGTAATAATAATAGAACTGTGAATAAAAGTGAGGGAGAAACTTCCTAATAGTGAATGATTCTTTACATATGTCATAGCACTGTTTGTGGGTTTGTATAGGGCGTCGTTGTCCAGAAGCTCATGCTGTTTGGGGAACCTCTGGTCTTGTGGACATATGTGGACACCAGCTTTCTGATGTCCACATATGTTTTTCAGTTTAGTACAGAGAACAGCTGGGGGTTGTTGGCATGCTTCGGCTGTGAGACGACCACGACTTTATAAAGCCCTCCGCTATTCTTAGCGGTGTGGTACGTAACAGACATGGATGCCTCGCCTCGCAAGAGCCGTCTGCTCGACTTAGCCGGACACTGACACCTGTCCAATCTAAACGAGCGCGAGACGCATGCTCCATTCTTGTCAACGCGCCTTCACTGACAGACGATGAAAAACAAGGCCTCATACTTTACAAGATTACAAATACAGGCACTTGTAGACACAGTGATATTGTGAGATGGCAGTCTGATGGAAAGAGCTGAGAGAAAACAGCTGTCTTTTTTTTTTTTTTCTTTTGTACCTCGGCTGCTTCTGACACCGAGCTAAAAGCAATAAAAGGATTTCACGTTGTCTGCCTGGATAGTGATCCAGCTTCTACGTGGCGTTACCACCTCGAATGCTTTTTGAACATTATTGCTTTTGTCCTGGAATAATATCCTACAAAAAAAGGCACATCACTCACCTGTCTGCTTGTGGTAGTTTTTACACAGATGATGGTAATATTAAATATTAAAAAACGGAGACCATTTTTCTGGCTTGTTCCTGGCGTGGGTCTAATTAAAGCTTCCCCAGAACTATTTCCTGTTTCCTCAGGCGTCAGTAGGAGTAAAATATGAAATTATCCGTTGTGAATATCATTTGTATTTATACCGACCTCTCCTGAAATGTGTGTGTGTTTTCTGGAGTGCTTTACCAGATTTAGTATCCTCTTTGTGTAAAGTGCAAGGTATGGGAGGGGCATCAGGATTATGAAAAACTGCTACGACAGAGACGGACGAGTGGAGATAAAGTCTGAGTGAATCAGTATAGGGACATTTTTTTATTTTCATTTTTTTAATTAAAAAGGATTTCTGCAAACAAGCCAGAAAGGCAAAGATGTGCGAGTTGTGTTGAAGCCTCGCGCTTGCCAAGAATTCATTCACTTTGTGTTTGCTTTCAGAACTTGGCAGTCTGAGGCTGATTTCTGTGGGAGAGGAGAACATCTAAAGGAGCTTGTTTAGAAAAGAAGGTAAGGCTGTTCACCACCTACTCACAGATTGATTGAAACCACTCCTTCCTCACTGTCACAGACAGAGAGCATTGGAAACATTCCTGCAGCTTAAACCTTTTTCCAACTCGTTACGTTACAGCGACAAGCTTCAATGTGTTTATTTGAAGGAATATGATTGTCCGCCTTGCAAATCGTTAGCCTCATGCCATGATTGCCCAAGTCAATATTGTAACGTTTTTGTAAACATGTATGAAATGCAGATGAAAATATAACGTTTGGACCATAGCAAGTGTTCTGATCGGCTGAGGATGTAAGCAACTAGGCAGGGCGGGTGTAATAGTGTAAGGACATCAATGTTAGGCGGATCTCTCAATTTGGCCAAAATATGACTTAGTCAAATTATGCCTTAATTAAATGAAACTTTGTAAAGTATGATTTTCAGCTTTGGTTCCAGCTAAAGAAAAGCAACTTTAATAATCTTTCAACAGTCAGATGAGGTGTTTGAGGCTATTTAGTCAGTTTTGCTCAATAAATACGGGTTACTTTGAGGTCATTCTCAAGGTTTAATATAGGGCTCCTATAGTTGTGGGGCCCTAGTTTTAGGGATTTTACAATCAGAAATGGTTTTCTTCATAGTTATCTTGCATTTAGCTCCATCCATCTCCTTGAACTTTGTGTCCACGGCATGATGCTGCCACCACCATGCTGAGGCAGGAGGTTGGTGTGTAGAGTGATGTACAGTGTTAGTGTAAAAATGTTTAGCTTGATGACCAGGTCTTCATACTGTGCTGTACTTTTTTATTTGTCAAATAACTGATTACACAGTCCTAATGCAAATATTTTTTTATTTACCTTGAGGTATTGTTTTATAACCCGACTCTACTTTAAACTTCTCCATGGTTGTTTAGTGGTTGCTCTTCACAATGCAGTTTGATTTCTAAAGCTCTCTAACAAACCTCTAAGGAGATTTAAATTTACAAACATGTTTTTTACGTATTTGCTCAAACTGTCGCCATTTTGTGACTGTTTAGTATGAGACGGATAGTCTGTGAAACGATCAAACTCCTCCACCTCCTTTTCTCTGAGTCACTATTGATGTCTAAAGAAAACCACAGCTCCCTGTCAAGAACAGCCAATCAGAGCCAAGAGAAGCATTTTACTGCTGTAAAATATTTTTTTACTGCGCTATGCTAAATAGCTTTAGCATTCAGGTTAAACTCTGCTGTTGGGAGAAAGTTGTAGAGTTCAGAGAGCAAAAGGGAAGGAGTGAGTAGCACATACATATAATTGATAGACAGCACTGATACCCTCCTCCTGGCTCTGATTGGTGGTTTGGGCTGTGCATTTTTGTAGATGAGTTAAATGTTTTATAGATTATTGCTCATATTATTCCATCATGACACAGTGATAGATCTAACAAATATGTAAAAAACATTTTTGTTTTTAATAAAAAAAAATACGTATCAGATATATTGTTCTGAACTTAAAAGGATGTGTCACTTCCTGTTACTCTGGACTAGTTTGTGTTGGCCTGTCACATAAAATCTCATAAATTAAAGTTGGTTATTACAACCATCATGAATAGTTTTGTGAGGCTTTTGTGTCGTTTTTCCTCAGACATGTATCTTCATACTGATTGCTCCCTTCCTACCAGTTGGTGTTTTTTATCTATCTTAACCCTAAAACTAAATTATGGAATGAAAAAGTTTAATTGTGTGACGCTCGTGTCTTTCTAAAGCGGTCTGGGATGTTCGTGTTTTACACCTCCGTGGGTATCATTCATCCAGCTGTGGAGAAATATGTCAGATTCTGATTACTGCTGCTGTTATTGTGGAGTTTACAGATCCCAGAGGAAATAAAACACAAACGCTATCCGCCGCAGTAACTGTCAACACTTTATTTACTGCAGGCGAACAGATTCATCACCTCAGAAACAGACTTGTGCATCACGCTGCTTTACCAAAGTAAAAAAAAAAAAAAATCCATAAACTTTATTGTAGCGCCAGGCTTTATTTTACTTATTTTTAAAAATTTTTTTTTTTTGCAAAGTTAGAGACCCCAAAAAGCGTAGCATTAATCCGCCTCCATGTGTTTACAGTAGACACTGAATTAGCTAATTGATGCAGTGCAGTGCTGCCGGCATCCTGTAATGTACAGGTGCATCTTGCGGTGATCAGAGCCATCCTGTGTGAACAGCTGTAAGTCACAGCAGAAACTACGACTTACAGCTGTGACTCATTAGTACCTCAACATCAGCAGTACATGAAGCTCTAATCAGATCCCCCTTGGATGAACAGACGACCTTCTTTGTGATAGTTTTAGAATATATACTCTCAGGCGAGAAACTTTTCATGACAGAATATTCGGTGGAGCCGAACTTTGATTTTTCCGTCGCTCGTCTGTGACACTGGCAGGAGCTGACAGGTAAATGACGGGCCTTTGGTAAGATATTCTCTTTGAGGGCTGATCTCCACTTCAAAACCCTCCTCTGTGTGAGGACAGTGTTCACCTCGCTCCCTCTCTCTCTGGCTCGTCCTTTTGTTGACACGCAGGGCCTTCAGCAGTCTGGGATTAAACACCCAAGTCTTCAAAGTTCAGCTCAGCTCTCGACTCTCAAACCACTGTCCTCTGCAGAGCGATGCGCTTCTTTCTGCACGAACTTGTGACACCCCTTCCCTGCTCCTTGCAGCGGGTTACGTAAGGCTTTTAGTATCTTGTGAGCGATAAAAGTTTATTTTCCTTTCACATCTCCAGGGACTTTTATACGATCATGAAAGCCGTCGAATGGGGTATACAAAATGCACCGCGTCGTCATTTTCCACATCAGTAAAACGGACTCTGCCAGCCCTGCTTTCATGATCCCGTCCTGCCGTCTGCCCGCCAATTAAAAGTCAAATATTAAAGTGCTCTGTTGTGAGCTAGGCCTAATTGATTCTTTCCGCCGGGCGCACACAGAATGGGCTGACAGCAGGCGATACCAGGCTTTGTCAACACTGGGCACGCTGCCTGGAGCTTAGGACGGCACCCCAATAAAGACCCCTGTGAGTGTGCCAACCTGCGGCGCCACACACTGAGGCCGTTCGGCACTTCAGCCGGGCTTTATGGTGACGACACCGAGGCGGCTCATTCTTCTGCTCTGGGTCGTCTCCCATCAGTGAGCTGGGAAGTCGGTTCTCTCTTTGTAAGGAAGCACCGGGCTGTGACAAAAATGTGCATGTGTGAAAACAATCCTTTATGTCCACTTGCGTAACTGCTCATCTAACTTGAGCAGCCTAATGGAGTGTGGGGGTCTGAAAGAAGTATTTGTTAAATTTCCTCCAAATGATCTTTTTTTTCTCAACTATTTTCCATTGCTCATATGTATCATTTATGCCAATCCATTAAAAAATATAATCAGATTAATCACACTTTGCTGCTGTGAACATTCACTGCTTGAACTGTTAAAATTCACGTTTTCAAAATATGTTTAAGAAAATGTCTTACTGTCTATCAGTATTTCTGTCTGAAGCTACTTTGTTTCAAACATAATTTGAAAATGCTAACTATAAACTGGCTATGCTTCGGTGGGAGGGTAATTCACAGCTGCTGTAAGTAGCTAGACTAATTTTAAAAAACGTCTGTTGCCATGGTTTTTAAGCTGAAATTTGCCACTAAGCACACCAGTCTGACTCCTCACTCATCTTTTCACACGTTTGCAACTCTTATAGTCTTACAATGGCATAAGAAGTTGCATTTTGATGGGGTTACTGGCATATTTTATGTAATTCTAAGTCCTAAACTACAGTTCTTTTGCACAGCTTTTTAGCCATAAATCTAGCAAAAGTGGCAATTTGTGTCCCTTATTGCCTTCCATAGTATGTCACGGTGTATCTCCTCTGCAGGAGAGTGTCTTGCACGTCTAAACAGGTGATACAATTAAGCTACATCATGTAATATTAACGCATTAAACATTTTAGATTCAGCACATGTGCTAACGTTGACCCCCAAGCCAACTCAAAAAGTTTATTTATCAAGCACCTCAAAAACAGCCACAGCAGACGCCACTGAGAACAGAGCAGCAATGGTAGTTTGCAGGCTGGCAGAATGCAGCTCGATAAACTAAAAATATCAATATCGGATACAATCATACATGGAATAGCATCGTCACGTCATCAGATATCATGACATCACACGTCAAGTGATATATTGAGGTAAAGGTGGAGTAGCTCCCGGTTGCCCTGCCTTCCTAACGGTCTCTTAAAACATGACGCGAGGCCGAATGATGGCAGCGAAGCGGCGTCCTTCTCCCCGAGATGAAGACACTCCCTCTCCTGTCTGCTTATCCTGTGGATTTACTGATCGTTTGCCGAGCATCATGAATCGGCTTCGCCGCCCATTTATTTTCATTGCTTTGCTGCTCCACACAGGAGATTGTAACAGTGGTCTTGGCTCTCCGCAGCGTTCATTAAATGCAGACATTCATCCACAGCGTTTTCTCATGAATCTGATTGACCTTTCATGCTCCCTGCAATCCACAGTAAATGGATATAGGTCCCCATTAATCCCTTCATGGTTGAAAAGCTGGCTGTATCTCCGCGTTGTGTTTGGTGCTTTATGTTCCCTCTGAGCTGATGGATGGGTGCAGTAAGAGGGTTTAAAGTTGCACGGGGGGACAGGAGTCAAAGATGCGCGATGGTAGGGGCCGATCACTCATGTCTGGAGAATTGCTCTGGCACGGCACAAGGTTTATGAACTTGATCAGAGGCCTGTTTATTCATTTTTAAGGAGGTGAAACAAGCGGAGGTAAGGAAAACAAGCAGGATTGTGGCGTCACCCGGGCGTCTGGAACGCTTTAAAGAGGACCACAGTTCATATCCTTCCACCCGTGGTAATGCAGCATTCAGCGTTTGAGGTTTTCACATCACATCTCGGCGTGACCGATTGCCTGCACAGCCGTGGAATAGTCTTTTAACTGACAAGCAATCACAATGTCCTCTCCTCCGAGTCTGAGCAGGGTTTCATTTTTACCGTCATCCTGT